TGCAGCAACTCCTATGAGACTTACCTGCAAGTTTCCAGAAGCTGGGATTTTTACACTAGGAAAAGTTTTTTCTACACTTTGATTGCTGTTGCAGACAGGATATTAAATGGGATGAATCTACAGTTTGATTCAGTACAGCAGTCCTTGTGCTGAATGCATTATTTACAAGACAGTGAGTTGCAATAAATTAAGTTTTACTGATAGTCTTGTTGCTATTTAGTCTTGGAATTTATTAAAGCAATGAAATGTGGCTTGGGTTTAATACCTTATGTCACTGTTTATTTTGGTGTAACTCTTTTACAGACAGGTGCACATGGGAGAAGTTAAAGGGCATCAACAGAGGTGAGTTGCAAAGCTGGAAAAAGAGCTAGCTCTCTCCCTTTCCCTCCTTTCCGCTGGGAAAAATGGAGAGCTACGTTTCTCACTTTTCACGTTGAACAGGCATCTCTTATCAAAAAGAAAAAAAAAAAAAAGATAAATTCAAAATGGTGTGAAAGTTTGGATTATGCATGCCTGGAAAGTATGACCAGGAAGTGCTGAAAGCTTCAGACAACCATAGGCTGAGTCACACAAGCCTTGCTTTCTTCAGTGTCACCAGTTCACAAGACTCACTGTTCTACTCCTGAGCATCCTTACTCAGTCTCTGCCCATAACTCACTCCAGTTCCACAACTGTGTTCAACAAAACCATTCACCTGACTCCGGCTTTGCAGGAGTGGCCCTTAGGTTTGTGATTCTATGTGTCAAAAACATATACCAACCATTTCCAGCTGTGGAGGAAGCGTAAAAGGAGAGAAGACTTACTCCACTGTGGAGACTAGGCCAACTTTTATGCACTATTTGCTTTACCAAAGTTACAAGCAATGGAATAGAAGGTTAGTAATTGAAGTGCCATCCCGTCTTAACGACAGTGGGGATAGTACACCTCCGCACAGTACATGTATTTAACAGATGCGGTCCAAAACTGCTGCCAGCTATTGACATAAATCATATTCCACATTATGGAGCTTTGTAATTGGGTCTGTGGTTACATAGATTGCAGAGTTGTATCGCAGAGCTATGATATCATACCTGTGAAATACTATACAGCAATTCACGTACATCAGAGCTACGAAGCACAACTATTGAAAAGAAGTGCTTAAAAAAACCCAGCAGCACTTAAGCTAATACCAAATATTTACAGTGCTGTCACTTTCAAAGTTTGGCAGGCTCACGGTTTCTAACACACCAGTTGCATGCCCCATTTTCTCCAAAAGTGCAAATCCCCATAGCCGGTTTTTGAAGTTGTAAGTAAGTGTGTCATTTTTGCAGGAGAGGCATGTTTGAGCCTTGCCAAAAATGGGTCTTTTAGATCTCAAGAAATTGCTGTAGGGACTTGTTCCTTTGCCTCATTGCAAATTGAACGTGGAGGCTGCTTTTAAGCCAGGGACCAGCAGCACTCTTTGTTTGGGTGCCCTAAATGCAAAACCAGTATTTTCTGAGACTTTGGAGAGGTGGGGGAATTTTTTTGGAATACCAAAGGAGCTTTTCTCAGTTAACATATAGCAATGTCACAAATACAATAATGTTGTGCAGTTGCATCTCCATTTTTTCTGCTGCTTCTCATTTTCTTCCACTTCCTTTTTTTTGACATTCTTGCTTTTGTTCCCTCTGCCTGTGCCCTATTTGCTTCCCTTTCCTGTACAACTTCTGCCCACCTCTTCCCTTGCTACTCTGCTCTTCTGCCTCCAGACCAACCGTTTTCTTGCACACGCAAGTGAAGCGGCCAAGTGAAAATCACAGCATTTCTGATGATAGTGGATGATAACACTACTTCCTTGATACAAAAAAAAAGATAATTTAGCCACAGAAAGTCTAATCTTTCAATATATGAACTAAAATATGAAAAAAATTGAGATGAATACTGTGAAGTTCTAGCCAAATATTTTAACTGAACAGTACCACACGCCTGTGCTTTACTCTCTGATGATTCTAATGTAGGAACATTTCACTGTCCATTTTATCTATGGCCAGAAGAACCCAAGTGACTTAAGTCACAACCTATCCTAGAGCTTATTCTCTGAAAACAGATTCCTGAGCACACATACGCACACTGTTACTGCTGGTCAGATGGAATATTATCTGCACTGGACAATAATATGCCAGAAGGTCCCTTGTGGTGACCTTTCTAAGCAAGAAAAAAAGTATTTTGTACTTTAAATTAAGCTCCAGCAAATATACATTATAGAAACTGCAAAATACACGTATTAACAAAACAAAACAGTTACTTAGAGATGTGAGTACACATTCACATTTGCATATGCGTGTATGACATGGAAAATGGGAATATATAATATAGGTAGAAAATACTATTCTTACCTTATTGCACTTGCAGATAAGTGGCCATAAGAACCACTGGCTGAGGAACTGCTACGAGAATTATTGAGAATTGTGACCAAGGAATTTGGAGATGTCCGTATCATGGTCTGAAGGTCAAAGCTGTGATCAGATAGGGGGGATATGGACAACGTACGCTTTCGGCTTGGTCTAGCTGACAACCTCGGACTCGGAAACCTGGCGCCTGTTATGTAAACACAAATAATTATCCACCAGGGTACTTAATCGCATTTATTTTTTATCAGTGATGGGTAGAGGGAGTCGCAAGAGACCAACACGCTGTGACAAGCCCACTCTCTCCACTTGTGATCTACTGGCTATGATTGAGGAAAATTAGGAAGAAAAATCTATCTTCCTGTGGCTTACCTCAGGGGAGCTCTGTTTATTAATGTGCAAGCAAAATGATAAATTGCTAAACAAAAGGAAAAGACTTTTATGAGTTATCCCTCTCATTTCTGGTGATTTATGAATCTGATGGCTTCTTAGACATTCACATCATTAATTCAACCACGAGCAATGAGACAGTGGTTCAGATCTGGGCTACCAGCAAACCCAAACCTGCATCACTTTAATACATACAGCCAAAGCTAAACTTGTAAAATATAGTGTAGAAATGAAGAGGCAGCATTTCCTTTGTTGACCGTAATTCTGCCTGGTCCATACTTGATGCAAAACTAAAAATCAGGACTGAAAAAATGCTATAAAAGCCAGCACTATCAGCAGAAGTCAAATTGACATTCACAGCATTAGACTGAGAAGCAGTAGGCTTTATTTGAATTTATCCAGGATCCCATGATATTCTTGAGTTGGGGTGTACAGGGGCCTATGGTTGCCAAATTTCTTTAAAACTAGAGATTAAGCTTTTCAAAGCAGCAAAGAGAAGGCAACCATACAGATACCATTTAAATAAATACATATTACATTTCTAAATTCTCTGTGCTGCTCTGAAAATCTCTACCTCTTCTGGTCTATTTTACCATGTCATCCCAACTCTCTGCAGTCCTGACGGAAGATAGATCACTTCAAATTTCTCCCCTTTATTTAATTATTTTCGATCTCGGTTGAGACCGAGAAGGAGAGAATTAGCTTCCCCACTGCGTACTGAACTATTTCCTTTAACAGTACTGCTGCTTCTACCTTTTTAATCCCTTTAACCTGTAGTAAAGGACTGAGTCCTAACGATCCTGACAGCCAGGGTCATGCAGGTCTTGGGTTTGATGCCTACTTTACAGCTACTTCTCCTAGAGTCCCTGACATTATCTGTAACTTGCTAATAATTCACAGTTGGCCACAAGCCTCCATTATGGGTCTGCTTTTCCTAATTCTTGCTCATATCTTGGTGCCCAGGACCTTTTTTCAATAGGGTATTTAAGCTTATGTACCTAACATTAACCAGGGGAAGAGCCCAACTGACTCCCACCTCAAGGACAGAGCTGGATTAGTATCTGCCATTACATTCTCCTTACGCACCTGAGCGGGTTGCCCTTCCTTCTGTGCGTGCTATCCAACATTTTCGTCTAGTATTAAAAGCTGCCACTTTATTGCTGTTGAGATTGTGTGATCAGATCTCTGTCTATAGTCATTCTCCTAATCTGTGCTTAGTTTTGCCTCAACCAACCAACGCAGGTGTCAATTCTCTCTGGCATCTGGCTAACAGAGAGGTTTTTTTCCTTTGTGCTCTGTCTCCGCAATAGGCCTCAGCCCATACTGTTTCAGTCTTTCAGTGAATATTCATGCTCTTGATTCATCATTTAAAACTTAAGCATTTATTTCTTCCTAAAGCTACTACACGTTATTTTATGTAATGTGTTTTATCTCCTTTTTATGAGCTTGCTATTGTACTGTGCCTGCTTGATATTTTATTAGTGCTGTGCTTCGTGTCTTTCAAAGGCAGAGATCTTTTATTTGTGTTAAAATAAAAACCAACAATGATCAGCAGCTATAAGAAGCTGCAACGTATTTAATAAGGAAATACAAAATACATGTCGTGGTAAAACAAAAACAGTAATACTTTGCACTTACATCTTTCATCCACAACTCTTCTCTGCTGACTTTCAGACAGCATGAATGGGAACAACTCCTCCGAAGTCAGTAGCGGTAATGTAATTTGCCTCAGCTGAGGATATAATTCAAGTGCTTTATAGGTGAATAAACTCTGTTATTGCGGTTTTACAAGGGGATAGCTAAGTACAGGTGTTCCTGGTTAAACAGCAAGTGAAGGGGACATGGAAGACCTGCTAGATATTGGCCAACCAGCAAAATGAGATGCTACTCAAGCACTGCTACCACAGTATCATGTGTTACTACCAGCCATCCTAATGGTGTGCTATATATGACAGCAACAGTTTGCAGTCATGTGAATATAATTATGAACCCCGTTTTCCTCAGACTGATGGGCACAGCTCTTATCATGCCAGCAAAAAGGCAGCAGAGATGCTCAGAGGGGACAAGTACATCTCCCTCTCTTTTGATAAGCAAGGCCTAGTTAAACTTCTATATTAACAACTGAGAGTCACCATGTGCTACTGATGGCCATGTATGAACGGTTTCAAATGTGATTTCCAGGAGAAACACTTTTGAAAAATTACTTCTTATGGATCTGAAGTCCAGTTTTGAATATGTACAACTACAAAGGAATTGCCACTTATTTGAGAAATTCATTAGAAGCCTGCTAAACATGGACTGATGGCTACTGATGCTAACTAGAGAGGGGGTGCATAGGTTTGATCAAAAAAGTGGAGCAGTTGTTAAGAATACTAGCACCTGAGCATCTCTCTTTTGAAGCTAGACTGGGCAATAAAAGCAGGAGACGACAGTTGTGTTTTCCTGCTTCTGCGATCAGACACCATTTATTTTCCATGCCACAACTGCCCAAGTGGACCCGTCCATACTCCAGACCGCATCTCAGAGAGGACTGAGCAAGCATTACCGACAACTGCTCGAAGGTCTTACGATCTTGGAGGGAAGCATGGTTACCCTCGACAGATCACATAAGAGGGTAATTTATACTCCCTGCAGTGCCCTGAGGATTCTCAAAAACTGCAACGTCTTCTCTCCTCCTCCTTCCTGCTCTTTCTGGACCGAGCCTATCTCCTTTACCCCTTGCCTAAGTCATGCTACGGCTCTTGTAAGAGGCCCCTCTCTGCCCACTGCTCATTAAACCCCACCCGTTGCCTGCCAGCTGCTGCCAGGGCATCCCTGTCCCCGCTCTGTGGGGGACGCACCAGATCTGCAGCCAGTGATGGAGAAAGACGCTCCTTCTAGCTGTGAGGGGCAGAGCCCGGGCTTCAGCCACACCACACAGCAGTCTCGGGCTTCCTCTTCTCCTCCAGGCAGCGCCTGTTTCAGGCCCCACCTAGATCTGGGCATGCAGCAGTCCCCTCCATCTACCTGGGACGGGAACAACCTCCTAAGGGGCAACAGTCTCCTGCAAAAGAAGTATTTCTGCTTCACAGCGGGAGCCAATGGCTGAGGCCAGGGAAGAGCTCTACAGAGTCTGACCACAGGAGAGGGGGATTCGCCTCAAGGAAGGCCACGACTTTCAAAACTGAAAATACAATTAAATGGAATTACTGTTTTTTCAGATCTTCATGGTTTAATTAGGTTTCACATGCCTCAAAAGTCTTAAGCATGAGCTGACCACTCATTACACTGCAGGACATTTGCTAAACCATTCACTTAGCATAACATCAGTCTTAGTTAGTATGTTACTATAAAAAGGAATAGGTCACAATTTGTCAGTGCCTCTGAATACTAAACCAAACTTTTCAGCCTTGCCCAGGCATTTATTTTAAACACAAACACTTCAATATTTATTTAGCAATTTGAGATGTTCATCTGCTCACAGTATTCTCCCACTGAAGCATTACATTCCCCACTCAATAATGCTTTAAAACCAAAAAATGCAGGAGCACTGATTCACTAAAAACCCATTTACCTCTGTGCAAGTGCTGAAAAAAAAACATCGGCTTTGGCAAAGCATGCAAATGCAAGCTGACAGTGAAGATTTGTTTAGGAATGTCACCTTTTTGGAGTAGACGTTATAGTAATAAAAAAATCAGTAGTTGATAGTAAAGACTTCAGTGTGCCAACAAAAAATCCAGCAGGTGTCAGAAGAAAAGATCTCATTCCTGGGGTGGAGATCAATTCTAAAATAACAGATATCTATCTCCATCATAAATTTCAAAAATTGAATATGCCATCCAGCAAATTTGCCCATGAATTTGATTTCTGAGTTGAAGTTTTTAGCATTGCTTAATCATTTATAAGGCAATCTTCAGACATGTATCATTTATTCCATCCCTTTAAATCAAACTTCATCAAACCTTTTTTATTCCATCCCTTTAAATCAAACTTCTTTGAACCTGTCTCAGGCACTAGTTTTTGTTGAAGGCTGTGAATGTGGGAAGTTTGATTTTTTTTTTTTTTTACATTAAAGATTTTCTTCTTTCCTTTTTTTCCTTCTGGTTTCTGCTCACAGATATGTAAACTTTGTTTTCGCTTCATGAAAGTTTGTCATAAATTTTGTCTTAGTTTTCAAAATGGTAGATCTGTCATCAGTATGAGAGGAAAAGGAATGGCTTTGCTACTCCACCCTCATTCTCCAACTGTGCCTGAAAATCAGAAATCAAACCCAGTCCAAAGCTTCTTACATTGGCTTAACTCTTCAGGCTGGCCAAATTCTTTACGTCAATTGGGTTGCTATCAGTGTCTCTAATGCCAAAAGGGGTCAATGATGAATACCTTTGAAAAAGAAAAACCTCCCATTCTGAGTGAGCATAGGCAAAAGTTAATCAGAGTGAGGATATTAATACTCTCAGGGTCAATCTAGAAACCCCAGGGAGCATGCTTGCCTTCCACTGAACACCATTTAAAAGCAGAGTAAAACATATTCCCCAAATGAAAAATGCAGATATCAAACCCAAAAGGCTGTGGCTTTTGGAATTATTTAAGTGCTTAAAACACAGTTTTGACATACAGTATCTTTACAGCCACAAGAAGGATTTCAGTTGTTGCTACTGTGGTACTGTCAATACCTTCTCCATCTACTCCCCTCCTAGTTACTTTGAAGTTATACTTAAAGGTAGCACATCTGACCCTTTGAGATCAAGCAAGAAGATGGGAAGACTCAGTCAGGGATTCTGGCCGCCAAAACTGTAGAAAAGCTTTATAGCAGCAAAGAAAATTCTGGTCCACTTTTCATGCCATACAGGACAGGATGAGGAAAAATGACAATCAAGCATACACAACCTTGGCCTGATTCTTCCACAATATATTAGATAGTTCATGGTCAGTGAAGTTCACAGCTTCAAGAAGTTTACTGCTCTTTAGGCAAGATTTAACTTTCTGATTCATATCATCCCCATTTTGAAATCAGTTTTCCAGCACCACAGAGCAAAACAAAAGGCCTAAAACTGCACAAACTGTATGTAACATGCTGGTGTTGGAATTATTGTTATTACTTGTACTACTGGAGAGGGTAGAAATGCCAAATTACTGTGCTAGATACTGTATAAACACAAAATTAGGAGACAGACTTGCTTCACAAAAGAACAACAATGTCTTGCTTGTATCTATTTGGTTGTTGTGTAGAATAAATGAGCAGCAGCCTTTGAGTGAGTTGAGTCTGAATTTGATAACAGATAATGAGGGAAACTACCAATCTCTCTTCCGTTTCCTTTGACAAGACTGGGCAAAGGTGAAAGAGTACTTTTAAGATCACCACACAAACCCTTAAGAAGAAAGATCTAAACAAATGGCATTGCTTTGCATTGATCACTGTACTTTGTTATTAAATGCAAACATGGGCATTCTTATTGTTTTTTTTTAAAAAGTCTTAATATCGGCTTCCTGCTAATTGTTTTGTTCTCGTTTCTAATCTAAAATTCTGACAAAGAAGAAAGGGGTTTTCTTTAGCATGATGAATGATAGGACATTCAGATTCCTACTTAATGACAATTAATTTACTGTATACCCATGCAAGTTAAGATAGTTTTAATTAGTTTTTACAAAGTAAAAGGGTAACTTCATACTCTATTTAGATAAAAGCAGCTATTGCCTGACTAAACATATTCTCATCAAATACAGAAGGTGAGCTGAGTGACCTTACTAGGATTCACTCTTATTTTAATTCTCTATTTACTGTTTAAAAATAACCCATTTGCATAATACTGCTACACATTTTTTGTCTTTAACTCTGAAATAATCCCTAATTGAAAAGTTGCTGCTATAATGAATCTCAAATGTGTGATCTTCATTTTTAAAAACAAACACAAAACAAATTAAAGAGTGCTTTTCAAATATATCAGAGGTAAAGCTGGTGACAGCAAATATCCTTATTAGAGATAGTGTTTAGGTACCTTTTATGAATGGGCTGAAATTATGGGCAAAGGTCAAAACATTTTCCCTTAAGTAAGAAGTGATAAGATTCTTGGGATGCAAAAACTGTAATTCTATGTAGATTACAGCATATACAATCTCTACTAACACATGAAGATCCTTTGTCCAAATGCCATTATTTGTATGAGTACTGCAACGTCTTCTGTTTGTCTTAAGTTTTCTGACATACATCTAGGTATCTATCTTCCTATAGACTGAATAGACCCATTCAATCAAGTCTGCATCTAAATATGTGGTTTGGTACTGCTACCTACATGCATTCAGACATTCTCTCCCAATAGGAACCAAAAACATTGAAAGTATAAAATATCCCTGCTCATTGAGTGGGGGTTGGACCTGATGACCTTTAAAGGTCCCTTCCAACCCAAACTATTCTATGATTCTGTGATCCCTTCACTTCAATGAAGCCATGTCCATTCATACAAGCTGGGGATTTGTCCTTGCAACTCGAGCATAGCAGCAGATTTACATTACCTGAACCATGCATAACAGAGTTTGCATTCTGCAAGATATTACTAATATGCATCAAATGCATTAGCAGCATACTTCGTCTCTCCCTATTCCTCTCAAAATCCAGATCAGGAAGCATCATATTCTTAAGCTTTCAAGCACTGAAGCCTGCACATTAATTTCTGGTTTAAGTCCAGACTACTTGTGTGGGTTTATTATGTTTCTGAAGTGGGTTCAAGGTATGTTACATTACTGTAAAATCACTATGCACACTACCAGTGCAGTGAAACTGATAACAGAAGCTGAATTAAAAAATCCTTCACTATCAAGGTAACAGAATGAAAATAGTTCCCCTGCCCAGTTCCACAACTATGTGGCTTGCCTGATTCTTGTAAAAATTGTTGGTCAGTCAACTACTTCACACTCCAAGGCATGTGTTCTGCAGGGGTAGCTATCTATATTCCCATGCGTTCCAGAGGTGAACCTCCCGAATCCCACACTCCTTGAGATCAGCAGCTATGGCATGCAGCCAACAGCAGGCAAGAAGAAACTGCATGCTAACAAAGATTTTAAAAAGGTGTGGGACAACAAGGTGGTCTAATGCTATTGTATTTGTCTGTACTACCAAGCAAGACTCAACAGTCACCACCTTTTCTTGTCACCACCTTTTATTTCCCTTGTTGGAAGGAACCGAGTACATCCCAAAAGGCATGTGAGCATCTTATGACTAGAGGGGAGTGCTCTGCATAATCCCTTCTGGCTGATCAAAAGCAGCAGTAGTGAGCAGTTTGGAATGGGGAGCTCTCTTTTCCTCCTTCACCAGAGAAAGGGAGACAGATTAGAGGTCTGAAAGATGCTGAAGTGGGTAAAGAAGGCTCTTAATATTACTGAAAACTAAGTCAGGATCCTTGAGAATTCAGCAAACTGCTTCACCTTAGAAGAGGTCTCAAAGTCTATCGGTCTATGATACACACCTTGTAAGCATGGCTACCACTCCCTAAAACGGAGGGGAACACGCTCTCCTAATGGAAAAACAGATGTAAAATTTTTAGTAACAGAGAGCTCATCAGGGAAATACTCACCCTAACGATGAAAGTGAGTTACTGATTGTGAGTGAAAAAGGACATTTTCAAAAGCACTCAAGCCCTGCTGGAAATAAAATTTGTAACCTGTTTTCAGGAGCAGTCCTGTTCCTCTCCCTACTTACTTTCAAAGTTTACTTTCAGACCTGACGTAACCCATGTACATTTGGCAATCAGTGTTTTGGGCCTCCAGCCTCATGAGGAGGCTTACGTTGACTTCCACTTCTCTATCTGCATGGAGGCCTTTTGGGTCAGACCAGGAACAACGCACGTGGTTCCCTTTGCAGGACTGTCTGTATTTCTAGAAAACATCACTTACTATCCATGGCGTGAAGATATTCCATATGAAGAGCACCGGCTCCAGCAGTGGCAGCTGAAGGAATGATGTCTGCATACGGGCTGCGCTGGCCTGCCAACAGAGCCATCTGATGATAATATTCAGCTGGACTGACGCCCGCATGTGGAGCTAAAAACACAACATAAAAAGCACCGTTAATGACGTAAGATAAACGAGAAGGGAAGTTTCATCACATTGCTGATTTCTCTGGCTATTAAAACAGCTTGTTTATTTTTTAATGTAATGCAACATCTGCAGTATGCCACCACCGGTCAATATATTTCAACCAATGATACTGCAAAGACACCGTTCAAAAAACAGCAAGGCGTAAAACACTAATGAGCTCGGTGATCTCATTTTTTTAATATTTATTATTAAGTGACTCAAAAAGTGACAGGCTGACAGCAATGGAACCCAGTATGATTTATTTAGTGACATAAAAAAGCAGGAAAACCTTCCTGGAGCTTTATTCCCATTTACCTCATCCCCGGCCCAAAGGACTCTGTCTCTAAGGTAATAACGCGGCTGAACTTCCATAAGCATTCAAGTTTCTGGAGTCTCTGCTTAGAGGACCAGAAGATTTTCACTCACAGTGTCAGTTTGCGTATAAGTTTAGGAGTAAACAAGGACAAAGCATGTTTTCAGGACAAATACCAGTTGTCCATGAACAACGCGTGGGCGGTTTTTTTGGAAGACAGACAGAAGTCAATGAATATGGCCATTCCATCCTTCAAAGTTCATACATAAGTGTACTTGACATACGAGTATGTTTGCAGAGTCAAAACCATGGACCGGATAGGCTCTACATCCTGTCAGTGAGCTTATGAGTGATGCAGTCCTCTGATAATGACTTATATTAGCCTTTCTCTCCTGTAAAAATAATGTGCGAGCTTTCTCTTCTCCTGCAGTTTTCAAGCATGCCGTCAACTAATGGGCAACTCTGGACAAACACAAAACTCCATATAATTTTAATATCATCTCATCTTAGCAGGCTTCAGATGCTACAGTAAGTAGAGGGTCATTTCATAGGCTTGTAAGAGAAGTACTCATAAAATAAGCTGGGCTCCATCTCTTTGATCCTGACTCTGACCTGCTATGTGACCTGAAATGAACAGCCTTCCTCTCTGCTCTCTACTTGTCCCACTTGCAAAAAAGTTAAAATTTCCTTACACTCTGCTCTCCAGAAGATGGTACGTAAGTTTGCCTAAAACACTTCAGGATCCTTAGGTTAATGGGCTACACCCCAACAGATTAATTTTTTGTTCTTTCATATTATTTAATGAGATTTTTCTTTGATCCCAGCAACTGAATCTTGAATGGAAACAAAATTTTAAGCTGAAATTCTTTGAATTACCACCTTAACCTGAATATTGTTACTTACACAGTATTACTAAAAAGGATAATTTATGTTTACATTAGAGAATCAATCCTAAATGCAAACCGTAGAAGCAAAGAATCAACATTTGCACTAAAAGGAGGTAAACATGGCATTGGAGTTTGGAGAAAAGTTTATTCAGCAATGGCATTTCTGAAGTGTATAATCTGTCTTTATTTTTACCAAAGAAAATGGAATAATGTGCTTTTGATGTTATAATGTTAAATAGAACCAATTTCAGGAAGGGTTCACAAAAATAAAAGTACATCAAACAGGAACAGGAATGGCATGAAAAATTAACTGAGATAAATTAAAGGTTGTTGGTATTTTTTCCAAATTACAAATTGATTTCTCAATTAAATATAATCTACTTCAGCCACCACCGCTTTCTGTGAAATGGCAAGAAAAATATCCAGACCAAATTTTAAAAGAGGAGTAACTCACACTGAATCACTGAAAGTTTTACAGTAGTAGGCAACCACCATATCTTTCCAGACACACTTAAAATACATCCTGAGCTTTCTGACATAAGTGTCTGGGTTAACTAACAATAATATTGGCTGCAAACTTTAAAATGAACTGCTGCAGAAAACACAGTGAGCACATAATTGCATTACTAAATGTTCCATATGCTGAGAAATGCTCTGGTGCTCTTTAAAGATCATTCCTTACTACCTTCTTCAAACATAAAAAATTAGCCTACTAAATGATGTATTGCATGAAGGGTAAATGAAGGGTAAATGGGAAGGTCTGCAGCCCTGAATTTTCTCCTGTTTATTCCTGGGTAGCTTCAGCTTTGCCCCTGCTTTTTTTTTACAAGGGGAGGCATTTGCTTCTGCATTGTGGGCACTGCTGAGCTTCGTTTGAGCACTCTGCTCTACACACAACAACTCAGTCTTTACCCCTGCCACAAACCCTCTGTGTTACTCAGAGGAGTCCTCGGCCACCCCCGGCCCACTGATTCTGCTGGGTAAGGTGAAGCGACAAGTCAGAAAACACTCTACCATTACTGCTGCTGTGGTAGTCATTAATTACAGCTGGCAAGACTTGTAGTGAACATGAAACTGCTCTTCGTTATGTTCCAGATTGTTTTGGCTCTCGGCCATCCCCAGATCTGTGAGTCGACAGACTGAGCCCAATAGCACACTGACCTAATTATCTAACTGGCCTAAAGCAATCAGGGTAGCAAGAGAAATCTTGCTATAACTTTCAGAAGAACAATAACAACTTAGAAGTTTTCATAGTTTAAATGCTATACGACTTAAGCGACGGTGTCCATTATGTTATTAGCACATTATGTACATGTACCCCTTTAAATCACAGGGGTTTTTTATTTGCATTCTAGTAGTGCCCAAGCCGTGACTTAGACTATCTGATCCCAAGAAACTACACCTGAAAAAAGCATTTCATTGTATATCTGACTGATCACACAACAAACTATGGATTCCAGAGAACAAATTTAACAGCTTTTCAATAAGCATGTTGTTTTACTGAAATATGTCCAATGCCTCAATCAAGTTACTGTATTTTCATGAGGTGCTGCACAACACCTGGGCTGCGGTAACTGATCAAAGATGAGCTGTGAGCCTAGAGGAAACATAAACTAAGACGCATTTGTTCAAAACCCAAAGAAATAAGCTTAAGCTAATAAGTTTAGCTTGTACTTATGAAAGGTTAAGGTTGTGTATACAGTCAGCGATCAAAGTTCAGGGGATGAGCATTATGACAGAGCGTACTCTACGGTGTTGTCCACACCCGAGTGTCTCATGCCGTCTGAAAGCCCCTGGGTATCCAAAGCACCTACATGAGGCTGGCCGGTATGAGACAGGCTTCAGAGGAGAAAACTGCCTTTCTGAGGTGGCAGCTGGAGTCGAGGCAAGGTATTTCACAGACCTGAACTGACACCAAACACCTACGCTGTAGACAGATGAATCTTAGCACCATCGTAGTTATGACAGAGCTCCAGACTCAGCTGGTAACATGCAAGTGTCTGTATTTGGGTGAATTGAATAGTTCTCTAAGGCTCCACTGACTGCACTACGTAGATCTCACTGGACTATAATGGCAAAACAGCACACCAAGATCACAGATTTCTATACTGTAGAGACCTAAATTTAGGTGCCAAAATCTGGAACCAAATTCTACCCTGAGACACCCTAGAGTTTCAGAGAGATTACCACTGGCCTGGTGAATATGGCAAAGCCATATCTAGGAGATCTCTGCCTTTCTGGAGTGTCAGCTGGCTGTCGGGTCAGGTACCACTATGTGCCTACATATATGCAAGTGAATTCAGCGTTGTGTACCTGAGACCAAGAACATACACAGGTAAATGTCATATGGTTGTGTGATAGGTGGTTTCCTTCCCTCCTTTCTTTGTATGTGCAACTGGAGCATACCTTAAGCATAAATGAAATTCTGCAGGAATGTGATCTGAAGATTACTGAAGGAAAGATAGTAAAGTGTTCTGCATATTAGCTTTTGTGAAAAGCCCAAATATACATTGCAAGAGTTTTCCCAATTTATGCCATTACGCTATAGCTCTATCATGTTTATCCTATATCAAAAGCTCCAAAGCTCCCTGAGTCAAAACATGTATTTCTGAGCATTCAAATTGTTCCTTCAAAATATTTTTTTTCAGTGTTTTGGCTAAAATAAAAAAGGTAGAATTAGCAAGGAATCATACAACATCCAAAGCGCTGCTAGGAAAGCCCTGTGTGCATTCCATATACCTTGACTGACAATAGGTCATTAAAATTTATTCTCATAAGAATATGTGCCCATAAGTAATGGATTAACTGTAAAGGTATATGTTCTTATAAGCGAGGATTAATTAGTTATCCATTTGGATAGGGTGCACCGCTCATTTTTCAAATTCAGCTAAAGGCAGTTTAACTCTGTTTGGTAAGTTTCTGCATACACTGGGAAGATCTTTCTCATAGTTAAAATAATAGTTTAATTATCTTCACTACGTATTTGTTTGGGAGTATGTTATATTTTAGCTCTCTTCAGCAAATGCTACAATTTTGACATGTTAGACTACTTATTCTATTATTGAAAAACCTACTGCTAACAAGACTGAGCCTTTTTGCAACTCTATTCATTGCTCACTTTGGCAAAATTCCCATTGAAATGAATAGGAAATGCGCCAGAGTAATGGCAAGAGTGATCGCAGGAGTTCACTTCAACCCAAATAGCCTGGAAAGTAATAGCCATGGTCACACCAAGACCTAAAACATCAATATTTCAAGCGTACTGCCCACCATTTAAACTAAAGGGGCTAGTTCTGATTGTCAGCCACTTCTTCTACATCAGCATCATTTCATTTGGCCATACTGTTGGCTAGGGTAAACTGAAATAATTCTACATAACTTTAACAGAACTAGTGACTAAATATAAGTCAGTGCATGTTTTACATGATTGAAAAATACTATTTTAATTAACAAGCCTTTTGCACCTGAAGAACTCCATGGTAATACACTGATCTACACTCATGAAGAATGTGGCTCAATTCAATGCAGATACAGCAGATTTCTTGGGAGATCAGAATCACAGCCCGGGTCAGCTCCACAAACAAAAGATGTCACAAGACATACGCCACCCTTCCAGCTTAAATTTTGAATGAGGCAGGGCTTTCTTTTTTTTTTCCCCTGAAGTTTCAACATTTGTGAGATGTACAAATGAGCTGTGATCGGCTGATGAAGTATTGAAACATTTATGACATAATGAATATGTCTGACAAACCTGCTGAAGCTGCTTTGAACAAGGGGGAAAAAATGTTGACAAGATTAATATAACTTAAGTTGCTACAATGACAGAAAACAGGAGGCCTGTCTTAACCCACCGTCTGTTGGGCTGAGTCCGCGGGCTGCTGAGATCATGGAGAGGGACGGGCTGCTGTGCAGGGACCTGATGTAGTCCATGTAGGGGTTAATGTACGGGTGAGGGGTGCTGAAGGGAGACTCTGATGTTGCAGCAGGATTTCGGTGTGGGGAAATTCTAAGGAACGGAAGCTCCGAGTATGTCGGGCTACTAGATAAGGCAGAAGGCCTGGAAGAAAAAAGAAAGAAAAACAAACAAAAACCAGCCAGGTTATTTATATAATAAAGAAAAATACTGTAAAGGTAACATTCATTTCTTGAAGAATAACAACTGGGTTGTACATGTAATAACTTCCACTACAGTCAACTGCCTGGAAAGAAAAAGGGTAGGAAATGAATTCTTCTCTGTACCCATTATCAGCAACATTTCTCTGACCAATTTTAACCTGAGTTTATATTTGGTTTAATCTTTACATCCCTCAATACCCTTTCCCCATGGAGTTCAGCAGAAAATCACTTTAATTAGTGTGATATATGCACCCTGTATACCACATATTAATGCTTGCTGCAATATGGAAGTCATACTGAGATGCTGAATCACTTACATCTTCAAAACCACATGGCTATTGGAAAAACAGTTTTGAGAGCTACACTGCACCCACTCCCTTCATTTGCCAGCTTACTCTTCCTGAAAGTGCAAGATTGCATGTTTATACAGAAGTCATTTCAGAAGACCCAAACTTTGTAAGCCATTAAGACAGCTGGGTCCTTTGGAGCATTTTTTTGTTGATGTCCCTTCCCATGAAAGATGCAGAAAACTTGGTGGTAAAGGAAGAAAGGTTGCTGAGTATGTTTGATTCTAGCACGGCACCAGAGACCGATGCCTTTAACAAGACCACATTAATTACCTCATTCTTGCGAAAGGAGAGCTGTGGTGCCTTCTCAGGCTACGTGTATGAAGCTGTGATGAACCAAGGCTGAAAGCTGAGTTCACAGCTGACAAAAGATAAATAACCTGCCATAACCCTCCCCATCATCCCACCCTGTCGATATGACAGCATCCAGGCTCTGCGTGGAGACCCTTCTCTCACAGCATCCTGTCTCCAAAGGCACGGGAAAAAGTCCAAATTTCATCAGAAGGGGTTGGAGTGCCTGCCCTTGCCAACCTGCTCCTCGGCAAAAGACAATGATTAAGCCTGTCATGCATTTGCTGTAGTCTAACTGGTTGACCCGAACTAAATGCCTTTTTGTCCCTGTTTTTCCAATTAATTTAGCATATATACAGCACAGACACAGGCAGCAGCTGTGAGAGCAGCGAGGGCAGCCTGTTCCTTTGATGCTGCTGGCTTACGAAGAATAATAAAACAAGAAATGTATTTTTTTTCCTTTAACATACACATACTGTGATCAATGGAGATAGTTGTCATCACCTAAAAGGCCAACAGAACGTAATCTTACATAGGAGCCAATTCTGCTCTGCCATCAGCTTGGAAACTCTAGCGTATGAGTCGGACAAAGATCAAAGTTACGCATTCCTAACACGACGCCACAAAATCCATGAGGGCTCATAAAATCGGGAATAAAGATTTTTCCTGTTGTGCTTTTCTCCCTCTTTTCCCTTCCTTATTTGGCTTTTGTATGTTTCTTGCCCTCCTACAGCTTTCTGCAAGGTAAACCTGCTTAGCCTTCCTGTATGAAATTACCTCCTAGCTCCCAAGTTTGTTATAGAGCTGCATTCGTTGTGTGCGAGCAGCAGGTACCAGCAGCGCAATCACTCCTTTGGCACCTGAGCAAGTGACCCGCAGAAAGCCCAGCCACACACTGGTACGCCTTCACCGTATTTAAAATGCACCAAGAACCTGAAACCAGAAGCTGTTTTCCACCACCATGCAAAACAGGCATCTCCTTTCCTCAGAGCACTTTTTCTCTGTGTGGTTTTGAAGCACCTTTGTTTTACAGTGGAAATGCAGCTTTACTCTTGTTGGTACTGTGAAACCTGACCAGCCATGAAGCATTTGCTGTCTCGCAGTTCCCTGTCAGGCCATGTGTGGAAGGCAGGAGCCTTAAAACTCACGGTGATGTAGGAAGCAAAAATACCACAGCTGACTATCACATTACTGAATGAATTTCCCATCCTGGCAGCAAGGAAAATACAGTAGTATAGCAAATTTAATACAAGAGGAAGAAAGGACCTAAGTTTGGATGTCATTTTACAAGTCATTTTTTCTAATGTGATCTCAACTCAGAAAGAGTTAGAAACCCGAAGAGCATGCGGGCAAGCAGGAGCCCTGGCCTTATCTGGTGCATATTGAACAGAAAACTGTTTAAAAGCTTTTGCAAGAAGGTTGAAAGTCTGTATCAGCCTCAGTGATTCACTCTCCAGCTGGCCAACAGCCAAACGCTGCCGCAGGAGCAAGATTAAGAGCCAGGCTGTCAGCTTCTCCCTCCAGATCCAATGGGAGCCATTCAAGGACACTGGGACTCAACCACTTCTCCTCCTCCTCAGCCCTGCCTCTTCCTCTCTCTGCTCTCCTGAGCTCCTCAGTTTTCCAAGGATGCTAGGGAAAGGATGCCAACCTGGGTAACATCAATCGACAGCAGGCATATAAGATGTATTATCAGAGGCGGAAATAAGGAGTCATTGGATTCCACATAAAATCCCCAGCTCCGGACTCTAATGTTTACTAATCTCTCTCCAACATCTGATTTTAACATGCTGCTAACTTCTCTGCTCACTTCCAGCCTGCATTTTTCTCACTCCTCTGT